CTAGGTTCAGGAACGTTCTGAATAGCCTCCTTCGATAATGCGAAAGGAATGGGTAGCAAAGAAAGAGGGAATCATGCTTGACAAGTAAAGCAAGCAAAATCATCAGGATAATCGGCGGCGCAAAAGGTCACAGCTTTACCATGCGCTCATGTGCTGATTTCAATCCACAGTATTCCTCGGACTCTTCAGTGGTAACAGTTCCTGTAATGGCTGTGACCTCTCTCCTACTGTGCCGTGATGTAAGGCGGACAAGGTCGACCGCCGGCTGCACTGCTTGGTCGATCCTTCTACGAAGTCGGCGGGATTTCAATCCAGTGCTTGTAATTTTGTTGGACTGGGGAGGTGAATGCAAAAGACCAAGCTCTGCTAACTTAGCTTCGTTTCTGGCTATGCATGTAGCACGCTCTTCCTCAAGGTCCATCAAAGATCGTAATGATATCGCAATATTGCCTATATGAATGACGAATGTAAGCAGGATGTAGTCATTTTGGACTGATGTATGAAGATGTGTACGGCGTGATTGCAAGCGACCTGTACCAATGAGGCAAACCGTTCATGGATTTTGAGGTGTAATTTATTACAGAAAAGGTTGCCGCATTTGCAAGACTTAGGCATTGTGTTAATGTGGACGGGTCCTGCAGGCCAAGACCCCGAGTGCCTATGCCCCGGAGGGGAAGTTGGCTAACGAATTACTGCGAGGCCAGGAACACCAATTGAGTTAACTATTGCTTGTCTTTATAGCTTAAATTCTGCGCAAAGCGCACATACTCTGGTAGAAGGTAACTGCGATGGCCGGACAGAGGTTACGCAATTTCATAAAGCCAACCGAACGGGCTACAGAGACTTTATAGCTAAACAAAGTTATTGCTTTAACTAGTATAGCAAACAGCTTCACGCGCGGGCACTCTGACGTCGACATGGCCGATGATGATGACAGGACTTCTAGCTTTGTACCCATCCAAATGCACCGAAAGCATAGGATTGTTCTGAAATATAGGCTAGGCAAGGCATTGCATGGTCGACTTAAAGGGAGCGCATGTTGCCCCGGCTGCGCTTTATGGGCCTCCAGGAGCCCCAAAACGGTTTGTCTAGGGTCGATACATTGCAGATAGATCATAGGTGCTGGGCTGTCGGTCATAGGTGCACAGCAGCTGGATGGCTTTCAGACTGCCGGTCATGGGAACCCGGGAGGCGTGCTGTTGGTGCAGGGCAAACCAGGGGCTGTCGGGTGACCGGCGGAGATGGATGGGCCACCCCACCTCACCCATGTGTTGTGCACAACATCCAAACAATTATAAAAACCGCATACGACACAACACCTGCCACTGCCCATCCGGGAT